GGGGGGGGGGAGGGGGGAGAGAGACAGCTATGTGCAGTTTTGTATTGCAAATTTGATACACTCAACTGGTAATCTAATTTTTTCTGCATCAACTGTATGAGTTTATGATCCATCGATCATCTCATTATAATGGTTTTGATCACTTTTGCCTTCGGATTTGGGGCAAGAATTGATCTTTATTTTTCCTAACCCTACCATCAACACGGATATAGAGCAAAAATCAAAAAAGAAGTGGGCAAAAGACTTCTTTAGTGGATAGACATTCGAATCTTTATCTTTGCCCCAAAATACAAAAATAACAAATAAAAAAGAAGTGGGCCCTAAAATATTAAATTCCTAGTAAATAACATATTACGGAAGATCAGATACCGAAGTCAAGATAAAAAATAAATCGATCCTTATCATTGCATAATTATGAACCCTAAAATTGAAAGTTTAACGCGTACCTATGTACAGGCGCGGAGCCATCACCCGGCGAGGAGGCGCGACCACACATGTTGGCTCCGCCGGAATCTGCAGTATCGTCGGGTAAGCCATTCGCTATGCGCAGCAGTTGCAGAATCGCCTGGTCGCCTCGTCTGCCGCCTAGAGAAGGAGAAGGAAGAAGAAAGCCCTTTTTTTTTGGGTTTGGGCTTCAGTGAATTAAAGAAATTTTTGGCTTATTATTATTTGGCCCAACTGTCAATAAAATTATCCAATTTATCAAACCATTTCATCATTTTAATTTTTCAATCGTCCAGGTCCTGAGGTCCAACAAGCAAGAATTGTGAATCTCCCAAATACAATTCTCCCAAATTGCCAAACCCTTTTTGTCGACCTCGTTTCTTCTTTCTCCGACTCCAAACTCTCCAAGAAGTAGTCAAGCAGACGACAACAGCTCAAATCCATCACTTTTTCCATACATTATTCGCTTCTCTGCAATAGTAGTAAAAGAAGAAAATTTTCCAGTTGAAGGTAGAATTTGAGTCTGATAATAGGATTTGAGATTCTTCTTGGCTTGATTATGAAGTAATCTTAAAGGATAATTCCACCTGCAAACTCCTTGATCTTTCAGTGCCTCAACTGCTCCAATGCTTGTTGCCACAAAGACCAGCGACGGCAAGTTGACCGCAGAAGTCGTTTTGCTGCAGTGAACGCCAAACGGACCGTGACCGCTGACCAGCTGTTGCCTTCTAGTTCTAGTTCTAGACTCTAGTCTTGACTTCACCTCACTACAGACTACCTCAGAGTCTCAGACTGCCATTTCCCTCTTTATTCATTTATTTATTTTTCTGTTTTGGTTTTGTTCTATTTTCTTTTGGCTATTTAGATTTTGTTCTATTTTGTTTCGCCTTGCTACTGCGTCTGCGACACTGCCTACTGTGAGTTGTTGATGTTGAGCATTGAATAATTTAATATTAATTATGTTATGATTTATTCATTTGGGAATTTATGTTTGCGAATTGTGATTTATGAATTATGATAAGTAATTTACGTTTTATCATGAGTTATGAGCTTATGATTATTGATTTGGGAATTTATGTTTGCGAATTGTGATTTATGAATTATGATAAGTAATTTACGTTTTATCATGAGTTATGAGCTTATGATTATTGATTTGGGAATTTATATTTACGAAATTATATTTGTGAATTGTGATTTATGATAAGTAATTTATGTTTTGATGAGGAATGATTATTGATTTGGGAATTTATGTTTACGATTTACAAAATTATGTTTTAAATTGTGATTTATGATAAGTAACTGGGGTATTTTGCAGATTATGAAACGATTTTTTCAACCAAAACAAAAGTCCATACCCAATTTTTCTACTTCTAATTGTGCATGTAGTCCCGCGACTAATTCTAGGCTAACACAAGAGTTAATGAATAACATAAAGAAGTCCCGTACTCAATTCAATGTGGATGATCTTATACCTGATCCAGGGTTACGCCCCCTCCCCCCCATCGAGTCATATGATCCTAATATCAGAGATGATGTTAGGATGGCATACTTGGAGAAGGGTCCTTATCAACCATATGGACATGATATTTCAAGAAGACCGATGGGGAATGACAATAGATATTTTCGAAAAGAATGGTTCTCCGAATTTTAGTGGTTGGAATACAATATAGAAAAGGATGCGGCATATTGTTTGCATTGCTACTTGTTCAAACCCGATAAAGGGGGTCAAGGGGGTGGACATATATTTACTAAGATCGACTTTAGGGATTGGAAGCACAAAAAGACATTAAAAGATCATGTCGGTCTCTTTGATAGTGCTCATAATCAAGCTTTTGCAAAGTGTACGAACTTAATGAATCAAAAGCAAAGTATCTCCTATGCTATTTCTAGCCAAAGTAGTAGTCAACAACAAAGTTATCGGACCAGGTTGACTGCGGTGCGAGATTGTACTAGACTCTTCTTGATGCAAGGATTGTCATTCCGTGGTCACGATGAATCGAAAGAGTCTCTTAATAGAGGAAATCTAATTGATTTGTTGAACTGGTATGCAGCTCGTTGTAAGGAAATTAAAGAAGTATTATTTAGTAATGCTTTTGGAAGTGACTAAACGACTTCACCAACCATCCAAAAGGATTTGGTTAATTATTGTGCCGAAAGACAACAAGGGCTATTATCAATGAGATAGGTGACTCGTTGTTTTCAATTTTGGTGGATGAGGCTTGTGATAATTCTATGAAAGAACAAATGGCAGTAGTTTTGAGGTTTGTTGACAAAAGTGGGCAAGTGAAGGAGCGTTTTTTGGGTATGTCACATGTCACTGATACTCGTGCTCAATCACTGAAGCATGCCATTGATGGAATATTTTCTACACATGGGTTGAGCATATCTAACTTGAGAAGTCAAGGCTATGATGGAGCAAGTAATATGCCAGGTGAGTTCAATGGGTTGAAAGCTTTAATTCTAAGAGAGAACCCACATGCTATGTACCTTCATTGCTTCGCTCACTAGTTTCAGTTGGCAATTGTATCTGTGGCATGTAGGAATTGTATGATTGGTGATTTTTTTGACATACTTACTATTATTGTGAATTTGGTTGGTGCATCATGTAAGCGTGTAGATACTCTTCGAGCAAGTTATCATTCTAATATTCTGGAGAAGCTTAATATTGGGAAACTTACTGATGGAAGTGGTCAGTTTTAAGAAATGAGTTTGGTACGCCCAGGTGATACTAGATGGGGCTCACATCTACTGACAATTACTCGTTTCATTAATACGTTTAATGCTATTATAGATGTTCTTGAGAATATATTAGAAGATGGCGTACATTCAGATCAAAAATCTTCGGCCAGAAGACAGATGAACAATATGCAAGATTTTGAGTTTGTGTTCAGTCTCCATTTTATGTTTGAAATTCTTACAATTACAGACTACCTTTCGCAAGCCTTACAGAAAAAGGATCAGGATACTCAAAATGCTATGAGGTTATTGAATTTGTATAAGTGTGCATTGCAGAACCTGAGAGAGAATGGTTGGGATACTTTGTTGAGTAGGGTGATTGAGTTTTGTGTTGATCGACATATTTTAGTGCCCAATATGGAGGATATTGTAGTAGTGAAAAGTCGACCTAGGCGTGTAGCTCAGCAGGTGACTTATTTTCATCGCTTTTATGTTGATTTGTATTGTCATGCGATAGACTCCATCTTGCAACAGTTGAATGATCGTTTTTCAGAAACAACTACTGAGCTCTTTACTTGCATTTCATGTTTATGTCCAAAAGATTCATTTGAAACTTTTGATAAGGATAAATTGCTACGTCTTGCTAAGTTCTATCCTTTGGACTTCAATAGTGAAGAGCTTTTATTACTTAGACTTCAGCTTGATAAGTTTCTTATACTTGTGAGAATGGACGAATCTTTCTTTAATCTCAATAGCATATCTTGTGTAGCTCAAAAGTTGGTTGAAACTAGAAGTTCCTGTTATTTTCCATTGGTTTATAGGCTGCTCACCTTGGCTTTGATATTACCTGTGGCAATTGCAAGTGTCGAAAGGGCATTTTCTTCTATGAATCTAATCAAAAGTGATTTGCGCAACAAAATGGAAGATGAATGGTTGAATGACAATTTGGTGGTTTACCTGGAGAAATCTATTTTTAAAAAGCTTGAGAATGAGGCAATATTGCAACGTTTTCAAATCATGAGACCCCGTAGAATGCAGTTGTCTAAGTTTATAGTTACAGAGTAATTGAGTAAGGTTGTATTGTATATTTTTTTACTATTTTGGGTTGTATTGAAGTATATTTCCATATGTATACGATTTTGACGTTTTAGTTCATTTATGTATTTATTGAATAAACTTTAATATTATGTAACCATTTAATAAACGATCGGACTATTACGATCGTTGACGATCAACGATCGATGGTCAACAATCAACAATCAACCAGTCCTAGCTGGATTCAGATCCTGGATTCGCCGCTGCTATGTACCTACATACATATGTATATAGAGAGATTACCTGCATCCATTTGGCGGTGTAGGAGGTGACAACCTTGCTGCTAACAGCACCACTGAGGCATCGTAAGTTGGCAGAGAGAGTGGATGATCTTTGGATTATTAGGGATTTCATGAAACTTGTCGCCATTGCTATGCCCTTTGTTCTCCTTGACATCGCCATTGTTCTCAGTCAGAGCCCTGGAGCGAGAAATTCTTTTCATTCAGAACTCAGAAGAGAGATTAAGAAGTTATTTGAAAATACCTCCAAAATTTTTGAAGGACAAGGTTGAAATTACCTACATCGCCAAATTCCCACCTTCACCTCCACCACCGCAGCCAAGCTTCCCCATCCCTACCACAACCAAGTCTCCAAAAGCCATACTACCCACCTCTTACCATGATTAAGACATGATAGAGAAATTGTGGATTGAAGAAAGAGAGGAAGATGAAGGGAGGCAACACATATGAGATTAAAAGGAAAATGGATTCTTAAACCTAATTTTGATGGATTGTTATTTTTGGTCGGGTCAAGAGCATTTAGTTTATTGTGAATTTTTTTGCAACATCCAAAAACGTTGCAAAGTATCAAAAACGTTGCAAAGTATAGCCTTTTGCAACGTTTTTTGAACGTTGTAAAATATGGCATTTTGCAACGTTTTGAAAAACATTGCCAAAAGTTAGGGGGCGTTTCTATTTTCTATTTTCTGTTTTAAATTTCATTTTGGATTTTGTATTTTGAGTTTGTGTTTTGAAATTGTTGAAAATACGTTAGGTTTGTCATTGTGAAAATATGTTTGTTAAAACGTAAAAATTCAAAAGGCTTTTGGTTTGGAATTCATTCTCTCTTCTCCAGCAAACAAAATCCCTAGCATCCCCACCATCTTCTACCACACAAACCGACCACCACCCACCACCTAGACCACCAAATCCCAGCATCACTCAAACCACCTCACCACCCTCTACAATGCAATCTATGATACTCTGCATTGCACCTAATTCTACATGTATTATGAGTCAACAGCAATGATAATGGGAAATAATTAAACAGAAGCTAAAAAGAACCGGAATATACAGAGCAAAACTTACTAAAATTTGACAAACAAGAGCTGTAATTTCTGCAATTGAATGAGTACCCAGTGTCATTTGATGATGAATTTCAGTTCCCCCGGGTTGATTTGTAGACTGGAGCATATTTGAGCCTTCAATAGAAATGGGGTCGAGCAGTATTTCCTGCTCACAGGTTCATTCCATGGTAGATTCGAGCTAAATTGACGAAGACCCATATATGTTGTTGTCCGCCATAATGAGTAGGAGGTAATGGTGATGGTGAGCTACCGTGATTCTCAATGCCGACACCGATATTTGGGCAGCACTGTTCGTGGTTCGCTGCATTCGAGCATGCAAAATCTTTCCCATTTTCTTCAGATGTTGGTATGGAGTTGAAGAATGGGATGAGGACATGTTGATGGTGTGGAAATCCGGTGGTTTGTCCGACGGTACAGTGGTCGGATTCGTGAGTAGAAGGTGCCGGCTTGAGGTGGAGTAGATGTAGTGGAAGTGTGGAACTGGGTTTCTGTCATTTTGCAAAATGGCGTTTTTCATCTTTTCAGTTTTAGCGTCTGTTGGCTTGAAAACGGGGAAAACGACTTTTTTTTTCGTTTTTTGTTTTCTTCACCAAAAAAAAAAAAAAAAAAAAAAAAAAAAAAAAAAAAAAAAAAAAAAAAATTGTTTTCTAAAACTCATTTTTGAAAACGGGAAACCAAACACGTTTTCATCGTTTTGAAAAATAATAAACGACAAATGGTTCGAAAATGACAAACCAACTAGCTCCTAGACTTTTTGCAATTGCAAAGTTCAGAAAACATTGCAAAATATGGCTTTTTGCAACGTTTTTTTAAACGTTTTCCAAACGTTGTAAAAAATAAAACTTTTCGCAATGTTCAAAAAATATTGCGAAAAGTAACATTGGTAACATTTTTAAAATAAATGTTGTCAAAACTCAATTACGTTAACTAATTGCGACATTCACTTATTAAAATGTTGTAATAAGCCCTTTTAGCAACATTTAACTCTCGAATGTTGCCTTTTATCATGTGTTGCAAATGACCTTTTTGGTGTAGTGATTATGACTATGTCTAACTTATTTTTAATCTTTTGAAAGTATATAAAGTCATAAGATTATTACAATTAGTGATCAAGAATGGTAAAGAAAGCAAATCTCATCATAATTGTTCAAAACATAAAACGTGCTTTAATGTCAAAAAAAAAGATTAAGCCCTCGTTTGTTTTTCATTATTTTCAAAATGCATTTTTCTATTCTTATTTTTATATACACATTCTTCGGTAAAATAATATTATACGCAAATTGAAAACTTTTTTTTTACCACACATTCTCTATCAAATGACTATTACAAAATGCATTTTTGACAAATAATGGGAATCAAACATGCCCTAAAAAGTTAAAGTTTCACAATACAAGGTTCATCGAAAACCTGGTACTAAAATTACTTAGCTATTCACAATATCGAATTTAAATAAATAAAGAATAAAAGATATTACAAATAAATTGACGGAACATGATTAATTTCCAAAATGCTTGTACAAATATGGATGAATTATTGCACAAAAATCTGAAATTTTATTCTTCAATTTTCTGCTGCCGTCTTCTCTCCTCCGCCAAATTATTTTATTATTATTAATTTTTTTAATTTTTTTTTTTTGGTATATTATTCTCTGCGTGTGTATGTTTCTCCCCCTCAATTTCCGTGCCTTTTTCTTCCGCGTGTGTTGTATCTGGCTTGTGTTCTAATCAGCCTTAATTTATCTTGTATCAAAGTCCAAAAAGGAGTCCATTTACTTTATTTTATTTATTTATTTATTTTGGGTAGGACTATTTACATGGACAGTGTTTATATATACATTCACTTTTAAAAATAATTGTATTATATTTTTTTCTTATGTAAATTTACCTAAATAGATACATATAAAATTAAATAAAAAATATCGTTCTAACTTCATCCACTAATATTTACTTTCATAAATTCTTTTAATTATTTTTATATTCTTTTAGAATTTGTACTTAACTAAAATTCTAGTAATAATAAAATATCATTGTCATCTAAAATCATAAAACTCTATTCATAAAATATCCTCTTCAGCGGAATTTTAAAAAAAAAAAAATCGACACATTATTAGAGTTATAATTCGTTCATGACATGAAAATGGAATATAATTTTTTATGCTTTTTTAAATATTGGTTTGACAGATAAAAATATATGAGAAATTTCAAAATAAGTTTCAATACTGTCTAAATATTCTTACATTATAAAAGGAAAAAAAACTTAAAATTATCTGCCGAAACACAAACAACCAAAATTATGAGCCTAGAAGCAAAAACATAAAAAATAAAAATATCAACATATGATTTAAAGAGGGATTTGTTTTGTTGCTTGAGCACTATATTTGCTAACCTTTATAAATAATTATTAAAACACCAATATGACAATATAGAAAATAAAAAATAAGAATCAAATTACATATTGATAGTGATTGGATGAATATAGTGATTTTTATTTTTTTATATTTTTTGAAATTGTATTGGGAATGTATTTATAGTGGGATGAATATATAAAATTTGTATGGATCTATAACATTTAAATGAAGGAATTTAATAAGGATAATATTAAAATTTGACATGGATGAAAACAGTAATTTTTTAAAATTTTAATATTTTGATAGGAATGTATATAGGATGGAATTCATATATAAAAATTGTGAATATAAATAACCACACCCTTTATTC